TTACTGGAGAAGTTTTAAAAGCACCCAAACATAACCTTATGGCACAATTTTGTGTTGTATTCAACTTATTAATGAGGGGGGATTTAGTTTGATTGTATACGACACAACAATAATCGAAGTTAGATCTTACTAATGTTTTGTAAAGAGTGAGCATGTTTTGTGGGTGAGAACCCCACGATACTCCAGCTAAAGATTTTAGTATGTTTAAGTTTTGCAGCTACTGTGTGTGAATATTTTTTATATGCGTTTTGAAATTTAATTTAGTGTCTAATGTTACGCCTAAAAACTTTAAGTGTTCTTCGCTTTTAACTGTGTATTTTTCATTTGAAATCTCAAAATCTTTGAAGTTAATTGTTCTTTTTCTAGTAAAAGGAGTAATGCTACATTTGTTAGGATTAATTTTTAGGTCTATTATTGAAAATGCTTGTGTTAGGTTGTCCAATGCTGAGCTGATTATGTCTTTCCCTTCTTCTGCAGATTTCGCTACAGTATAAATTAAAAAGTCATCTGCAAACTGAATGATTTTACACTTGTCAATTGTATTGTTGGTGATATGTTCCGTGTAAAGATTGAAGAGGGTTGGACTCAAAGTGTCTCCTTGAGGGAGACCACTGTAGGTTTCATAAGATACTCGACCTTCCCACTTGTCAATTGTATTGTTGGTGATATGTTCCGTGTAAAGATTGAAGAGGGTTGGACTCAAAGTGTCTCCTTGAGGGAGACCACTGTAGGTTTCATAAGATACTCGACCTTCCCAAGTGTCCAGAAAATATGTTCGATGAGTTAAGTAATTTATTATCCAGTGAGTTAGTTTCGTAGGGATGTGCAGATTTTTTAATTTAGATAGCAAGATTTGTATTTTTACATGGTCATATGCTTTATCAATATCAATGGTTAATGTCACAAGGATCTTTCTTTCTCTGAAAGCTTTGTAGATATCATTGATTAGAATCAAGATTGCATCAGTGGTTGACCTGTTTTTCCTAAAACCAAAACAGAGAGGACTCAAGATATTTGTTGATTCTATAAACCATTCTAATCTCGTTTTGACAATTTTGTTGAAAACTTTTGCTTAGCATGAGATGAGAGCAATAGGGCGGTATGAAGTGATCTGAAGTGCATCTTTACCAGGCTTTAATATTGGGAATATAAGTATATTTCGCCAGTCCGGAGGAACGAACCTTGGCATCCTCCCAAATTTGATTATAAGCAGAAAGCAATCTCTGTTTCATCGAAGCCGGTAAGAGTTTGATCATTTGGTAATTGATTTCGTCCACACCGGGGGCGGATCCAAATTTCCCTTTCAATGCCGCTTCCAGCTCTGTTAATTGGAAGGGTGAATCTAAATGGTGGACAATATGTACATTAGAACCGCGAAGCAATGGTTGTCTGGGCACAAAGATGTTCGACAATTGTTCGAGAAAGCCTATTGCATGTGTTCGGTTACTTAACACCATATTTTGCATGTAAATTCGCTTACCACGTAAGGTTTTAATTTTGTAAGTTAACTTATTAAACACTAAATGATTTATAAACTGATGTTTTTCAATTTAACAATGTAATTCTATATTATATTACCTAACTAAATTATGAATATGATTCATAATTTACACCTCCGTTCGTTAAAGACTTTTTTTCTACAGGAAAAGAGTATGTGATTAATTTAGAGCTTTAGAAGAACACCTTCCTTTAACCACCTTTTTTTTTTTTTTGTTCTTTAAGGCTTTAAGAACTATAAAAGCAAGTCCTATTTTGCCAGTAAAATATTTTAATTGTCACAGTAAGATGGAATTATATTTATTAATTATTTATAGATAGATGATCACTGAATGTAACTTATATAGAACTTAAACTAGAAAGACTAATAGTTAAAAACTAAGGTGACAGTAGTTTCATAACAATTAAATGAGAATAGGAGGTGACCTTTATTAAACACCTTTCTTAGAAAATGACTTTGAAATTGTGATCTGATGTTATAGTAAAAGCTTTATCTATGAAATAATGTTACCAATAAATTGCTTTATTTATTGCTAGGCACATCCCAAATACACTATCTCTTTTTTCATTTGAACAAGTGTCAATTTCTTAGAAAAATAAGGCTGCTTCAGAATTGTACCAAGACCTGAACAACTTGCACCAACTTCAATAACTATATCACTGTGATTGTCATAAATTGCTAAGGCTCGTGCTGAACATAGATATTTTTTTTTTCTCTTGAAAACAAGATTCACATTCATTCAACCATTTAAATTTTTTATTCTTTTTTTAATCGGTTATGTCATGGAGATAATCGCTCAGTGTAATGATATATGAATTTTCAGTAAAAGTTGATTTTACCTAAAAGTTTTTTCGTCTCGTGGGACGGTGAAATTCTCTGTCCTCCTTCAGTTTAATGTGAGTTATTATAACTCCAGTTATACTCACATCAAACTTGTCAGTAACTAAACACCTACCATATAACTAATAACTTCATGATGTCTTTCTTTTTATTCTTATCCAAATACTCTGATTTCATTTCGAAGGAATCCTTATCACTTTTGAATGTCTTCAATGCTGATTTTTCCTCTTTGGTTTCTTCAATGGACTATCAAAATCTTCAATGGACCTTGGTCAATATTCACATTGTTCATTTCAATTTTATTGTCTTTTGATGGTTGACCGTGATATAATATTAGAGGGAGTTGGTCGGGGAGTGCGGTCAATACAGGCTTTAGCAGTAACAGTGCGGGATGAAGAGCAACAGAAGGACATAACACTCGCTTACCACCAGGGCAAGACCAACCACCGCGGGGCGCAGGAGACGTTTCAAGCGTTACGTCGGAAATATTTTTGGTGGGGGATGAAGAAAACAATCGCAGAGCTCATAGGGTCCTGCAGGGTGTGCGCGAGCACAAAGTACGATAGGCACCCCCCCAAGAACGATGCAAGAGGAGACACCCACGGTCGATGCACCACTAAGCGACTTGCAAGTGGATACGTTCACGTGGAGAGGGTATAAGTGGGTCACGCTCATAGACCTCTTTAGCAAAGCGGCAATGGCGTACCTGGTACAGGAGCGATCAGCAGAGGCAGTCTTAGGAGCCCTCCAGACGTGGTTCCAATGCTACGGAGTACCCGATCGCATAACATCCGACGGGGGCAGAAAGTTCGACAATGCCAAAATCAGAGCGGAAATGAAGAACGTAGGTGTCAGGTGGCATCTTAATACTCCAGGGCACCCCAAGAGCAGGGGAAGTATAGAGAGACTGCACAGCACTCTTAGTGACCATCAATGTATTGGCTTATCTCTATTTTTTTCCATTGAGGTTAGTACTGTTTTGCTTGCAATATTCTCTTTATTACTGGATAAATGGGTCATGTTAGACGGTTATTCGACTCGGAATTGCTATATTTGCTTTAAAATATCACTATTATATTTTATTTTATTTTTAAATGTATCTTTATAATAAGGGGTGCATTTACAGCATTAAAAAATGCTGCTGCTTAACTTAAATCTGGCTACTGATAAACTTCAGTAAAACCAAACACATTAATGCGAATCCTACGGTTTCAAGTCTGGTAACAAATATAATAGTAGAAGGCAAGTAATTGAAAAAGCTGAGGAGTTTATTTTATATAGCTTTGATCACAGTTAAACAAAATGGATGATATTGGTGCAGAAATTGAAAGGAGAATAGCCAGTGCTGTTTTGTACTAAAGAAACATCTCCAAAGCAATTTTATATTGAAGCCCTTAAAAATTCAGATTTATAATGCTTTTATCCGAGCAGTACTGATTTAAGCATCTGACATATGGACCCTCAATAAAGCTCTTGAGGCTTTATCAGTATGTTTAAAAAGAAAAGTTCTGAGAAGGATTTAGAGGTCATTTTTTCAGAATGTTGTATGGAGGAGATGGACAAATGTAGAGCTAAAAGCAATGTACAAAGATATTGATGTAATCCAGCAAAATAGGAAGGCTACGCTGGGGTTGTGAGGATGGGAGATGATGAGATTTCTACCAAAGTGCTCTGGAAGCAAATGTTCAGAGTTTGCCAAAGACAACGGCCTTGGATGTCCAAGCTATACTTGATGTCTGGAATTGGATTGCAGCACCACTTAATAGAGAAAACTGGTGATCAATGTTGAAGCAGGCCAAGACTTAACTTAGTGGGTTATAGAGCCGGTAGAAAATAGAATTGATTTTTCTATGAAACTATTATAAATAAACCATCCATCTCAATTAATTCACCCTAATAAAGAATTACTACTCTCAGAATTAACTGAACCAATTGCTTTAGGATGCATAAACATTACCTACATTTTCTTGCCAATAAAGATCTATCTTTTTTTATTAAAAAAAAAAAACATATCGGTTTATCGGCTTTTGATATCAGCTGATACCAAAAATTTGCTGATAGGCAGCTTCTTATTTTAATTTAATTAAGCAAGATATTGAGTTTGAGTGTCATCCTCATCCAAAAATGCTTGAAATTTGATATCTTCAATCTTTATTAATGGTCTCTCATGTTCTTTATTTCTCACATCAAAATTATCATTTTTGAGTTTTTTAAACCACTCAAAGTACTGTGATTTTCCAAATGCATGCTCACTGTTAGCTTCGAGCGAGCATGACAGACTTCTATTCTATGCAACTCTGCTGTAGTTTTTTTTTTTCTAAACAGTAACAGAAAGCTAATGTCGCCTGCAAATTGTTACTTGTAGGCACAAAAATGTACATTCAACACCATTAAATTAAAACGATGGTATTTTATGAAACTTCCATTGTTGTGAGAGAAATTTTCCCAGTTGTTAGAGAAATAAAATGAATGATGTCAATAATATGCTTTAATGGTAACTATATTAACAACTAGAGCCATCTGTGGACGAATTCGAGTTTCATATTTACAAACCTGTTATTATCAAAAAAATGTATTTAAAAAAATATGTTATTACTTTTAAAGTCTACTTGGACTTATCTATTCAATTGTGAGATTCACTATCATTTTAATTATATTTCAGATATTCTAATAAGTGATTGTGAACTCCCTAATATCCAAGAAAACAAAACTTCAGGAGAAAGAGGTAATGGTTGAATTACATTAACAATACAAATGTATATGTTTTATTATAATTAGGAATAAATAAAATCAGTTAAGAATCCCATCCCTGAAAAATATTAATCACTACTAAAATTAAAATAATAAATTCTTGTCTTTTTTCGAAAGTTATTTATTTTGTTATAGCAGCCACCTCTATGTTATCTTCCATTAGAATGAATATTGGAAGTAATCCTGATGAGACATTATTTGGTAGTGAATTCACTAATTTACCTGAAATATCTTTGCCTATATCTGAAAATTTGGACAATAATTTAGAAAATAAGAAAAGAGTATACAATAAAAAAACTAAAGGTAACCTGTTACATAGAAATAAATTAAGTATTTTTAAAATTATTCTCTAGTAAATAATTATAACTATAATCTAGTAATTAATTTAAATATAATCTAGTAATTAATTTATATATAATCTAGTAATTAATTTATGTATAATCTAGTAATTAATTGTAATATTGCAATTATAATTATCATTTGTTTAATTATTCAAACTTTTTGGTACAACTTTGATATTGTCCTGCAGTGTCAGTGCATATTAAATAAATAGTCACTTTATGATATTTCGTACATCCTTTGATAATATAATCTAAGCTTGCAGTACTCCTTTCTGCCCTAAAGGAGCAAGTATTAAAAGTTGAAAATTATTTACAGTGCATTTTGTTTAAATCTGAATCGCGAAACATCATTTGGATATAGATCATTTTGTTCTTCAAGGTCAAGATACAAATTTGCTTTTAATTTTGACTACTGAATGGTTGACTGTTGTGTAATATTCATGATGGGGATCGTCCGTGGTGGCAGTCATATTAAAACATAAAATAGATTTTTTTTTTAAATATACTTACTAAGTATACTATTTTATTAAATACGAGCTGATGCACTCGTCATTGACGTTTTTTTTTTTTTTCCAATTTCTGGCTAATCCGTTTGGATAATCCTAAAAATGTATACAACATTTGTTAGGCTTGGAAAGTTGAAACGAATGACACCTTGAACGGAAAGATTGGGGAAAGTCGAAAAATGAGTGTGTTTTACCTGTGTTTTAAGCAACAACGCGTTACAGATGTTCGGGATTTTGGATTTTTCTGTTGAGTTGTGATAATTTTTTCCATCAGTTGAATAGTACAACTTTTTAATTTGGTTCGCGGTAGAGTAGGTTGAGATGAGAATTGAAGTAATTAACTGCCTAACTGGGATCTCTAGACAAATTACTCAAGAATTCATAACTTTAGTTCTTCTAAATGTTTTGTTTTCATTTAAAGCTTATGTTTTAAGTCAATCAAGCCTAAATATAATGTCAAAATTTGAAAAGCCTACCATTAGCCATTCCTGAGCTTACCCCTGACAAAATTTCGTTGGACAATGCGGACATACAGATAGACAACAAATTTTTTAAAAGTGGATTTGGTGAATGTAATGTATGAAACGGAAAGATATCATGAAACAGGTTGATTCTATTCAATGTACAGACAAAACCTTTATTTTATTTATATAGATATTTATTAAGTATACTATTTTATGAAACATATTTATTAAGTATACTATTTTATTAAATATACTTATTAAATATTTTTTAAATATTTAATAAAATAGTTTTCACTATTTTAAGTTTTTTTATGACTGCCATCCTGGACCTTCTCCTTCCTGCTTTTAATTTTGTTATTATTGCTATTTTTTTCTGTTATTATTGGTAACTTATGTATTTATTATTATTATCTTGTTCTTTTTTATGTTACATAAGTTTGTTTATGATTTTATGTTTTCATTTTATGTGTTCACTTCATTCTTCTGTAATGCAATCACCATTTATTTTTAAATATTTATTTGATTTAAATTTCTTTTTTATATTTTGTCATTGCAGTAGGCAGGGACATTGTTGTTTTAGGAAATCATTGGACTACATAAAAAAACACTGGCCCCTATTTCTGAAAGAAAATTAGTTTTGCTTCAGCTTTCAATGTGATGTCTTTATATGAGACTTATACCAACATTGTTTAAAATAATGATGCTAAATATTTTTTTTAAGTGGAAGTAAGCTTTGTGTCTTCAAAAAATGTAAAAATAGTCTATTAAACCATAGATCATTCAATAATTCAGAAGATAAAATATACACTTTAAAAATCTTCGTAGTAGTACTTAATTGAAACTTGTATTCTTAAGGCTGAATGCTCCAAATAATAGTCTTTTCATCATTTTCTTTATGCTGCTTTAATTTTTGTTAAATATTGGATCTCTTTCATTGATATTGAGTACTAATATTATGCTTTTATTATTATTCCAGGTCAATCCAAACAATGTTTATACATAGCCAAAAATGAATCTGAAGTACTGGCTAGTCAGTGCCCTTCAATTCTTGAAGATAATAGCCCCAAAGATACAGAATACAAATTACTTGAACATTGTGAAAATAATGTCACCGAATTTTCTGAAAATAATCGATCTGAAGAACGTAAACACGATGTATCTAATGATCATGGAAATATTATTCCTGAAGATTGTAAAAAAGATATATCAAAATATCCTGAAAATAATTTACTTGAAGATTATAAAAATAATGTGTTTGATTATTCTGGAAATAATTTATGTGAAGATACTAAACATCAAGGTATATTTTCAATATCTGTTTAGTCTAGTAATATGAATGTGCAGTCTTGTTTTGATAATTACTGTTGCATTTGAGTTTTATAAGTAAATCAGTGAAATAAAAGAACATTTTTGTGTTTACAATGCTATTTCTAAGTTATCTTGGAACAATTCGCCTTCTGATGCAAATAACTCAAAACTGGTAGTTGATAGTTGCATTATTATTTAATTATTATTATAATAAATTATTGCATTTGCTGGTCAATTTTCTTTTTGATTTTGGTCACCATTTAAAGTGTTTAGATTAAAATTAAAATTTCATAAGCGATTACTGCATGTTCATTATTTGGAAAGTATTATTGGTTATGCCTTACTTTTTCGTAGGATGTCTGTGATGACAATGTAAGGAGTAAATTTGAATTCACCTTGGACGTTAGCAAAGGTGCCATTCAGAATTTCTCTTTGGTTTAAGTATCTTTAAATCCTTGAGACCAAGTTTTGTTAAACTATTTCACAGGACTTGCCTGGTTGTTAAGCAAATTGATTAGAATTTATTGAGCTTTGAAAGGGTGAAAGACATGTAGGTCTAAATGATTTGGGTTCTTCATACGTTTTTCCAGTCCATATCCTTCTTCAGGTTTGGTCCTCTGCAGCTGGTAGGTAAATAACCAAATCTGCCTATCATCTAAAGACCTTTTTTTCTACAATGCTCGAATGACAAGGTACCAGCAGATTTGTATGTTGTCTAGGAGTTGACCTCCCAATCCAATCTCCTTGTGGTTTCGATGATGTAGAAGCAGAATTATCGATAAAATTTTATTTATTTTTTACCAACAAACGATGTCAAGTATGAACTCTCAGTTAAATTTGAAATACATTAAAATATCAGATTGTAGCCTCTGTTTTCTCTGATATTCTCTTTAAGTACCGGCATAGTTAGCATTAATTTATCCTTTTTCAGAAAGGATAAAAGATACCAATGCAAATGAGTCAGGCAAAGATATGATCCTTCCATATGGCGAAATAGAAAAAATTATTGAAGGTAAATTGCTCTTTGTTTTATTATTATTTTTTTAACTATGAACCTATGTTTTAACTAAGAATCTATGTCTATATTTGTTTTAATGTTACTGTTTTTTTAAAATATTTAATATATTTTTATTAGAATTTGGTTTAAAGTGAAAATCATTAGTTATATTTCTCATTACATCTAGTTGTGTTTACACTTTGTACTATTTTCTTTATTTTCAGTAAAAAATGAGCCAACTTCTGTCTGTATGTTTAGTGAAGTTTCGGTTCCTTTTAATGATGATGTTATGAATGAGGAAATTGTATTTGGAGGTAACAGTTTTTCTAATTATTTATTTATTACTTTTGCTTATTTTTCAATTCCTTAAGTTAATGTATAGATATTTGTAAGGAAATCAGTTCCAATTAAATTGAATCTTTCAATTTCTACTGAACAGTAGTATCCATATTTATCCACCACAAGACCTTTTTTTATGGTATGTGGAACCTTCAGGAGCTGTTCTTCAAAATACTTTGTAATTTAAATTTCTTCTTTACAGTTATCAACTTTCAAGTGCTAGTTCGCAGTTGCCTCAGCATAGTAGAAGGTGTAAGTGTAAATCTCTGTTGGATTAGTGCAGGTGGTTACTATTGTAGCCTTAACAATATCTATATGTTTGAATGTACATCGTATGTTTTAATTGCAGTAGTATTCAATGTATGGATATGGTTGGTTTAAAAATAAAAGTGTAATATATTTTAACTTATTTCCATTTTTAAGAATAAAAATATATTCCCAGAATTTTCAATCCACTCAAGTCACAGCAGTTACTTACTCTTATGCTTACCCATACTATGATGTTTTATCAGAGCAACTGCGGAATAGCACAGTGAAATCAATACTTTTATTCAATTATGCTCCACATCCAACTTCCTGATTAGTGAGTGAATTTCAGACGTTTTAGCTTTATTTGATCATCAAATCAGTAAAAAAATCCTGCTGTGTTAAAAAATGATAAAATAAGCATCTTTTAAAACTCTTAAATATAAATTTGTTTTGAAATAAAAATATTTATATTTTTGAATTTTATTTAATATGAGGATTTTCTTCAAAGTCAATATTATTAAAACTGTTAAAATGAAATCTCAGATTTTATGTCTTTATAAGGAATAATTAAAGAAAACTCCCTGACTACTTCTCTCAATCTACTATCACCCAAAAAAAGTTTCATTAAATCGGTGACCCCATATCCGTAAGCTTCCCTGGTTATTAAAACCTAGTGTCTATTATTCCATATTACCCTTTGGTAAATAACTCTTAAAATTTCCCATCATTTAGGTTTTGTTTTATTTTATTATTATTTATTTTTTGAGCAATATTAACAACTTCTGTAAATGTGATAGGTGAAGTGACAGTTTCTTCTAATGAGATTTTCAAACAAGAACTTGAACATTTAGGTAATGTCTGATTTTATTGTATTTGTAATATTTTAAGGCTTTATAAATTGTAGTGTTTTTACCTATGTTTACTAGAATTTAATTATTTGAAACATTTTTTTTTTTTTTTAGAAAATAGAACTTTATTCTGGGACTAAGTCCCCTTAGAATAACAAAGATGAATTAATACAAAATAAAATACCAATCTGGCCAAAAACTAACTTAAAAAAAATTCTAATGTAATATACATTATTTAAAAAGTAGTATGTAACCACTAAGAAATAAAAAAAAAAAAAAATATACACATATATAAACACACGCACATATATATATACATATACACACATAAACATATATATGCATACATACATATATAAATGAACATACAATCTTCTCCAAATTTACTTATTATTACGATAAAAAAAAAAAAAAGAAAAAAAAGACAGAAAAGAAATTACATATCTATATATACATAACTGCACAATTTATAAATAATAGCTATCTAATAGAAACATAATTTAATACAAAATGTAATAATATTTACAGTGATTCATAAAATAATAAGCAAACATTAAGATAAATAAAATCTCAGGAATAATTGTGGTATAAAGGTAAAAAAGGAACTATATATATACGTACTTACTCATATTGCTACACAGTGAGACAAAAAGTATAAAATATAAACTTATATAAACATGAAAGAAAAAGCACAACCTGAGGTGAAGAGAAATACAAATAAATAATAAAAATAATAGTAAAAAATCATTGCTGTTTTATGTTAAAACTTAAACTGTAGTCACCACCATTTACTTCTCACAAATTCAGTTCATAAAATGAAATTTATGGTTGCGAATCGTCTGTTTGGGATGTGAGGAGATATTGGAAAAGGAGGTATTTGAAGGTTGACAGTGAAGAGGCATGACGGATGTTATGTGGCAAAGAATTCCAATAAGTGACGGAGCGGGCTAAGAAGGAACGTTCATAGGTTTTTGTCTTGTGTGATGGAATATAGAGGTCAGAATCACGGGATCTCGTTTTTATTGAGTGGACTAAAGGTTTCAGCTTGAGGAGACAGTAGATATAGGAAGGGTGCTGGGAGTTGATCGTTTGATATAAGAAATTTCCAAGGAAGTATAGGCGGCGGGAAGAGGGGAAGAGCCACTTTGACTCGGAATATAGGTGGGACACATGAGACCATCTCGAAGTGCCGAAGACAAATCTTAAAGAACAGTTCATGATTCTCTTCAGTCTGTCCTCAAGCTCCAACGAGAGGCCACCATATACCACACAGCCATAGTCAAAGTAGAGGAAAATCAATGAGGAAACGAGGAGCTTGCGGATAGGTTGTGGGAGATGCTGACGAGAACGATGAAATAGTTTAAGTGTACCATTTGACCTTCTGGAGATATGAGCAATATGGGGTTTCCATGATAGGTTTTGATCAATGGTAATTCCTAAGTTTTTTACAGAGGGGGAGAAGGAGATTGGTTGGTCATTAATAATCAAGGAAGGAAGGGTGGAGATGGATCTAAGGAGGGAGTTGGAACCTATAAGAATTGCCTGAGTTTTTGATGCGTTTAAGTTTAAATTATTCAAGCTTGCCCAGGCACTGATCCTATCTAGGTCTTTCTGAATATTCATAAACGCTTCTAATAACTCAGTGGGCGGAAAGGAAAGATAAATTTGGGAGTCATCAGCATATAGATGGTATGAACAATGGTGGATTGAACTAGGAAGGTCATTGATGTAAGAATTAAAAAGGATAGGAGAAATGCTTGAACCCTGGGCTACTCCATGAGACAAAGTGAGGAAAGAAGATAAGGGTTGATTCGGAATACTAACAGCTTGAGTCCTGTCAGAAAGGAAGGATTGGAACCATAGGATAGAACTATTGGAGAAGGATAGTGATTTTAATTTAGTGTAGAGGATAGAATGGTCTAAGGAATCGAATGCTTTGGAGAAGTCCAGGAGTACCAATACAGTCAGTTTTCTTTCGTCAATTGCGGTATGTATGTCGTTAGTGATTTTGGCTAAAGCGGATTGAGTGGAGAAGCCCGGGCGAAAGCCAGATTGGAGAGGATCTAAAAGTTTGAACTCTTCAAGAAAATTGGAAATTTGGGATTGGGCAATTCTTTCGAGGGGTTTTGACAGATTTGATAGGATGGAAATTGGACGAAAGTCTTTAGGACATGTGGGGTTAGGGATTTTGTTTATAGGACGGACTAAGGCTTTTTTCCAAGATGTAGAGAAAACAGAATTTTGAAGGGAAAAGTTATAAATGAATAGAAGAACTGGAAGGATTTCAGGGAGGCATAATTTTAACAGTTTGACGGGTATTCCGTCAATTCTTATATAGAGTCGGATTGGGATTTCATTATGGAGGAAATAAGGTTCATAGGAGTGATGTAGGAAAAATAAAAATTGTCACTATTAAATGCAGATGATACAGATATATGGGAAGGGGCGGGAGAAATATTACTAGAGGAGGAGGATAAAAAGTAGGAATTTAAAGCATCAGGAGAGACTGGGACAGCTGTGGAAGAAGATGATTTGCTAAGAGACAGCTTTCGGAGTAAATTCCATTTGGATTTGGAATCGGGAGCCGAGGAGAAGGCTTCACGATAGTAATTGGTTTTCGCCAGCCTGATCGTTGTCTGCGTCAAGTTACGGAGTACCCTGAACGCTTCGTAGTCATCTGCAAGCCTGGTTATTCTAAAGCGTCTACGGCCTGCCTCACGTCTCTTTTGCATATTTCGAATTCCTTGACACATCCAAGGAGCAGGCTGGCGGCGGAATGTAGAGGTTTTAAGTGGGGCATGGGTGTTAAGGATATGGAGGAGATTAGAAGTCAGGATATCTACCATGGTATCAATTGAGGAGCTGGTGTAAACATCATTCCAATTCAGGGTTTTGATATCGGGTAAGATGCTTTCACGGGTTAGGGAATTTATATTGCGGTAGGTTATTGTTTTAGGAAGGATCGCAGGGGTCTGGATATTGTATGATAGTTGGATGAGGTCATGTGAAGAGAGGAAGGGAACAGGTAGCTGGGATGAGGACAAAAGATTCTGCGCAGAATCGATGATAAACAGGTCCAGCCATGTATCAGACCAGCAAGTGTGATGAGTAGGAGCAAATGGTACTACGAAGAGGTTAAGGGAGTAGAAAAGGTTTTCCAAGTAGTGTTTGTCGTGGGAATCGGAAAGGAGGTTGGCGTTAAAGTCACCGGAAACTATTATGTTACTGTAAAAAGGGATAAATTTGTATAGGGTAGATTCAAAGGATGGGTCGAAAGATACCAGAGGAGGGCGATAGACTACAACGTATAGGAGAAGATGGGCTTTGAAGGAAATTTCAACAAAAAGATATTCCATGTGGGGATAATTGGAAGGGGGTGAGATATCTAGGATTCGGGATTTTAGGCTATTATGGACGTAAAGAAGCAAATAATGTTAAATACAAATAATAATAATATTAAGCAGCAATGATAACAAAAAACTAAACATGAGAAAATAAAATATTACGTCAGCTGTGCTAGAGAAAAAATAATGATAAAACAGCAAAATAATACGGCAAAGTGATTTATAGTAGGCAATGCTTAACATTTCTCAATTATGACCATCAAGTTGACGAATGTCAAACCATCAGCAGAAAATGTCAAGATCTTGTGGCTGAATGATGTAAATCACTGGGTGTCCATCTTCTTTTCTACAACGAACTCTGCCCCCGCAAACCATAAATATTTTAGTTTGCCTGCTGCTCTTTTCTGACGGGCAAGCCAGTACAGACGTCTATTCATAGGAGACATTTCTTCGCCGAGATATATCCGGTGGGAGTCATTTTCTTGCCAACCAATATCCCTGGTAGAAAAGTCCCTTTTTACTTTTCTTCTTTGCACCAAGTCGTCGCGTAAAGACTGCCTCACAAAACGAGCAATCACGGGTGGATGTCGGGGATCATCTTTCTTGGTCTCCGTCGCTCCACAAAGTCGATGTCTTCTGCGTTGATCTTAATCCCGAGGCCGGCTCCCACGCTGGCTACCAAGGCCGATGGAGTCTCTCCCGGGCGTACCGGGATGCCGCGAATTTTTATTGATCTACGAAGTAGACCTTGCTCGGCTTTGTTAACATGCACCTCAAGTTCGCCTACTCTGGTTTTCAGCATCTTATTTGTTTTGTTATTATGTTTTGCTAAATTAAAACGATTTTTAAACATTAAATTTGATATTAAGCTATATAATAGCTAGTGTACAAAATTCTAGGTAGCACCAAAAAAGAATATAGAGAAATGAAGAAGATTCAGAACTTTCTAGGTTGGTCCACGACTAAATAAAGAAAGAGGTTTTATAGAATTAGTTTTGATGAAGAAAACAATTAATTGGTTGTGATGAAGAATTCTTATTGAGCAGTTTGTATTTTAACTACTATGTTTAATAATGTCATAATTTTAAGAAAGCGATTTTGAAAATTCCATGTCCTAAAATATTTTTTGTTATTAATTTTGTCCTCGTTACTTTATATACTTGTAATTCAACTTTTGAAATTAGTTTAATAAACAAATACTTTACTTCTGTTGTTATACAAAATTAAAATCAAAAGCAATTAGAATCTTATCACAGATAAAATGAGTAGAATAAACGATACAAAGGTGTAATTGACAATAAATGGCATTTTTGATTAAAAATTACATTTAACAATTTATTGGTGATTATTATTATTGTTAAGTCTTATACAGGTTTGAGTTAGTGATCTTGGTTTCTGAAATCTTTCTGGCTACCAGTTAGTCACAGAATCACTTATATTTTGTTTCTATGCATTTCTCTTCTCCAGTTGATCCTCGACAGATGAAAATGCTTACAAATACTGCATAAGAAATTATGTTTACCCTCTTGCATATATCGAGGTAGTAAAGTTTTTGTTAATAATTTCAGTCCTGAACACCAATGTTTTATAGAGAGTTAAAATATTGTAATATAAATATTACATAGTGATTTTAAATAATGGCACGAAGGCAGTGAAGTCACGAACTACTGTCAAAAACGGACAATGACGGATGGAAGGAGAAGCAAGTTCCTTATGTAAAAGAGAAGGTAGTCAGCCGGCTAGGAGAGATGATTGAGACCACAAATTATTATTATTGTGTAAAATTATAAATTATTGTGTAAAATAAATATTATTTCATTCAGAAACTGTTTTGTTTACTTTTCAAAGGGAACTTAACCTTACAATACATATATACAGTAAAACTTCTCAGCTGCAGACACCTACGGAAATCAAATATTGTTCAGAGAGAAAAACTGGAAGTAAAATTTCATAATAAAAAAAAAAAAATTATAATTGATAAGTAATATAAATAAAACCATTTATTTATTTAAAAAACATTTTTATTTTTAAATTTATTATTTAAATATATCTTATGTGTGAAAAAAATTTCTTAGAATAGTAACCTATAATTTTTATTGAACTATAGGGTGCATAACTATTTTGTTTTCCCAAATCGATATTGTGTGGTGAAGTAACTTACATAACTTATCATCGACATTTAACCAACTAATTTTTAATGTTTAAATAATTTCTAGACGAATTAAGCTCACTCACTCGGAAAATTAAGAGACGTCAAAAATTTTCATCTCACAAATGCTATATGAGTACAATTGTTGGAAATCATAGTGCTTTTTTTTGTTTCGACTAATTTCTCCTTTTCCTAACTGCATCGATGTATAAACTGACGTTTATCTCATTTTCCTCAAAAATATTCACCATTGATATTTTGACTTTTGTCCCGCTAGATTATCTGAATCGGCCAACTGTGCGTCGACCTCGCCTTTTCTCTGAAACTACTGTACCGATTGTTTTGAGATTTGGTAGCAATACCAAAGGGAACCCGAGAAAGATCCTTGGAACTCGGCATTACCATTTCTTGCCAAATCTAAAAAAAAAAATTACTTAGCATTCTCAGAGAAGTGTTATTCAGGAGTTTATGAATTTTGAAACAAAATGGTGGATGGTGAAGGTGAAGTATAAAGTGTTAGTATAAAGTAACAAGAGTGTAATTTTTTTTTTATATTCATGGGATTGTGCACCTTAGCTGGGTTGCTGAAGGTCAAAGTATTAATCAACATTATTACGCTCATATTTTTGCTAAACTCTGTGAAAGAATAAGGAAAAACCGACCTGAATAGTAAAAGGATATGTATTCTTCACCAAGACAATGTGCTGGCTCATTCCGCATTGTCGGTAAAGAGATTTTCTAGCCAAGTACAGCTTCCCAGTGTTAGATCGTCCTTCTTATTTGCTGGATCTTGTGCCATGGGACTTCTAAATGTTTCCTACAGTGAAATCTGCATAAAAAAAAGACAAGATTTGAGTTTGCTTAAGCTAGCTGTGAAAGAGTAAGCAGCACACGTTCTGAAGGAGCTGACAGAAGAATTCTTCCATCACTGTTTCCGATAATAGAAGATTCGCATGGAGGGTTGTAGTGATTGAGGAGGGGGTATATATTGAAGATGACAATAAGTAAATATGTATGGAATCAAAATGGAATGTTTTACAGCTTCAGTCTCATTTTTTAATAGCCACACTTAATAACATCCTGGAGTGGTTTTCGATTTTAATGCCAAGCTTTAAAAATGTTTGTATAAAGATCAGAAAGAGAGGATCATGTGTTCTTTGAATGGAGCATTTTAGATATAAAAAGGGTAGAGTGGATCTAAGAGTTTGTAGGAAAAGAGAACTCGCTTAGGCTCTCTCCTCCTCTACCCACCGACAAAGGCACGTACTTTTCATATTGATGGGGGAGGGGGCAATGGACAATAAAAATATAATATAAAAACATGGCGATAGTTCATATTATATGTAAAAATTCAACATGATTGTTGTTATACGAACAAATATAATATTTAATATTTTAAAATAAATTTACATATATGTTCGGACAATTGTAGGATTTTTTTTTATGTGCGTCATATGAATGGGCTTGAAAATATCTGAAGAAACCATTTGGATGTATTACAATTTGTATACATTAAACATGGTAGGAAGGGGGCAGCCTTAATCAGGCTAATTTAGTCCAATATTTGTTATAATAATTAATTTTACATAGTGATAATCTGGTGCAAATATTAATTAGGTGGCATAGTATTCGGCTGAAATAAGGTTGAGAATTCAGTTCTAAAGACATATTTTTGAGAAAGAATAATTTGATGATGTATTTGACTTCTAATTTATGACTTCAACAATAGCACAGTTTTTAAGACTTAAAAATGTTTTGTGCCAGCAGTTTGTACAAATTCACGCACCTATTTGAAAATTCTGCAAATGTATTAAAGGTGACAACATTTTGATGATCAAAGTAGTGAATGAAGTTAATTTGCTGATGCCTGAGATTCAACCTTTCCTTATCAATATATTTTTTTTATGATGTTACTGAATTAAACGGATCATTTTCGGGTTGTTTATGATCATTAAGTCCAAACAATGATGGTCGAATTCTACCAATTGATCAACCGTGTGAACGTTGCTTGGCAGTTTTTGATAAACAGTTCATAACAATTATTCGTTATTATTAAAGTTCAACATTATAAAATAAAATAAAAATAATATAAAACCCGTATCCTCGCAAAATAGCTACATGCCCACCGAAAACTGTCTATTCTCTTCCTGTTCTCCTGCCCTTCTCTGGCTTGTCATGTATTCTTTCCGAAAATGGGGGAAAAGCTCTGCGGGATGCGGGACAAACTGTAAAAAATCGGGACTATCCCGCCAAAATTGGAACATCTGGTCACCTTACCTTAGCCTAGCCAACTAGTAGTCTTTTCTTGTTTTCTTAATCAATTTTAGTTTATATATTTTATTTATTTATGTAGCTTATTTGTTATCAATTTTCATTTTTTTTTTTACTTCAAATTATTAGGGGAATGAAACATTATTCTTGCCCCCTCAGCATTTTTATTGGGGGGGGGGGGAGAGTGCATGATCACCCACCCTCTCTCTTCCCTGAAGTCTGCGCCAATGTCTCACCAGTAAACTTATCTTAAATGGACTCTACTGGTTTTAATCAATAGTTATGTATAGGTATAATTTAAGGTAATACTGTTTATGCATGTAGAGGAATATACCTTAGGTCACCTTAAATATAGAAAATGTGAGAGAAATATATTTATATCATTAATATATTACAGGACTGTTGTACATAATCTTCCCTGAGCTCTCTTTTTTACTTAAATATATTCTATTTCGTTTAATGTAACATTTTATGGTTTGATCCATACCTTGTTCATACATTGGTTCAATTTTATTTTCAGAAAACATCATAACTACTGATCCAAATGATACATGCGACAATCAAGTCTCTGCAAATCAACTTTTCACAAACAATTCAAAGTGCAATGGTGAATAAATTTTAATTTATAAATGAATATTCACATTTCTTTTCAAGAAACTTTGCTAGAGCAATGTTTTCTAATAGTTTATAATCAGTTCCTTAGACAATTTTTCTTTTCTTGTTAAAATGTGTTACCCTAAAATATAAAAAAAAATCTGTACCACTACAACCTTTCAATTATATCATTAATATATTATAGGACTGTTGTATATTATCTTCCCTATGCCCTATTTTTTACTTGAATATATTTTATTTGGTTTAATGTAACATTTTGTGGTATGATCCATGCCTTGTCCATACATTTACTCCATTTTATTTTCAGAAAACATCATAACTACTGATCCAAATGATACATGTGATGATCAAGCCTCCGCAAATCAACTTGTCACAAACAATTCAAAGTGCAATGGTGAATAAATTTTCATTTATAAATAAATATTCACATTTATTTTCAAGGAACCCTGTTAGAGCAATGTTTTATAATTAATTCCTTAGACAACTTTTCTTTTCTTTTGTAAGAATATCATTGCTGTTGAGCAGATATATATACAGGAAAAACTATGAAAATTATTTAATTCTGGAAAATAATTAAGTTACTAAAAAAAAATAAAATATAATTTGTCACCCTAAAATATAAAAAAATCTGTAGCACTACAACCTTTGAATTATATCATTAAAATATTACAGGACTGTTGTACATTATCTTTTCCCTGAGTCCTCTTTTTAAGGTACTATTTCGCTGGTGCGGCCCACGACCGTGACTGTTTGCAGTTGACCACAGCTTTAGTGGAATAGAAAGGAACCTATTTCGTTGGCGCTGCTCGTCAGTCTACATATAATGTCATATCAAAGCTGCTTCTATCTGACCGCTCTCGAAGCAGTGGAGCTGTTGGCGGCTCGGCGGTTGTAGGTTATGTTATCATAGTAAAGCATTGTTTCGATGATAACAGTCATGTTGATACGTTTTATTTCCCATGTTTCTCTTTCTCTCAAGTCTAGCAAAATTATAGGAAATATTGTTTAAAACTTAAACAATGCAATAGTAAATTTTTTTTTAAGGTTGAAGTAATAACATTATTTATTTCACCAATAATATTTTACAGCGAAATTCAAATATACCTAAATCCAAATGATATTAAATAAATTAAAGAATCCAACAAATTTTAACGTCAGATAAACACTAAAATTCACTCATTGAAAAATCGATTTTTATTTTTTAATTAAAGTGGGGATTTACTGATTACTATTGATAAAACGATAAAACATCGTCTGCTTAATATCGACTGCTTAAAACATCGTCGTGATTTAATTACAAATTTATGATATTTATTACCAATCAATTATGTAAGAATTACTATTACTTTTCAAATTAATAATATCTAATATCAGAGGGACTAAAGTTGTTAGTAGGGCGTTTTCCGCCTTTTTGTTCTTTTTTGGTAGTTCATCTAGACAATAGCAAACAATGTCCAAGAAGGGATTTGATGATTTGGATGATGAGCATATCATTGAAATACTGATATTCCTTCTCCTTATGAACAACATTTCCACTTCTTCTTCTTCCTCAAATAAAAAAGCGATAGTCCAGAGAAAGGTTCAGTTTTTTATCTTTGAAGATAAAGCAAAATGTTCGAAGGTTATAGGTAGATTATAACAGCCCCAGTGAGCAGTTTCAGCAAAATAGCTACGCCAACAGTGGTTGGCAGCGTGGAATAGTGGTTGCTGTTGTGAGCCGCGCCAGCGAAATAATACCTTTACTTGAATATATTTTATGTTGTTTATTATGTAACATTTTGTGATATGATCCATGCCTTGTTCATACATTTATTCCATTTTATTTTCAGAAAATATCATAATTGCTGATCCAAACAAAACATGTGACAATCAAGTCTCCGCAAATCAACTTTTCACAAACAATTCAAAGTGCAATGGTGAATAAATTTTCATTTATAAATAAATATTCATATTTCTTTTCAAGAAACCCTATTAGAGCGATAGTCCAGTTTTTTAACAGTTTATAATTATGTCCTTAGACAACTTTTCTTTTCTTTTATAAGGATATCATTGTTCTTGAGCAGATAAAAATTAAATATTAAAATTTGTTACCCTAAAATGTAAAAAAAATTTGTACCTCTACAACCCTTGAATTATATCATTAATATATTACAGGACTGTTGTACATTATCTTCCCTGAGCACTCTTTTTTACTTGAACATATTTTATTTGGTTTAATGTAACATTTTGTGGTATGATCCATGCCTTGTTCATACATTTATTCCATTTTATTTTCAGAAAATATCATAACTGCTGATCCAAACGAAACATGTGACAATCAAGTCTCCGCAAATCAACTTTTCACAAACAATTCAAAGTGCAATGGTGAATAAATTTTCATTTTTAAATAAATATTCATATTTCTTTTCAAGAAATCCTGTTAGAGCAATGTTTTTAACAGTTTATAATTAGTTCCTTACACAATTTTTCTTTACTTGCGTAAGAATATCATTGTTCTTGAACATTTAAACAGGAAAACTATGGAAATTCTGTTAATCTGGAAAAGAAATAAGTTACTAAAAAAGAATTATTAAAATTTGGAACCGACAAATATAAAAAAAAATAATTCTGTACCACTACAACCCAAAATATGTATGTATCTTATTTTATTTACAACAAATTGTCCTATGTGTTCTAAGTTTTAGGTTTATGTTTGGTCTTTCTCATTCTCGATTCTCTGGATATCATTACAACTGATTCATTCTGTTTAGAGATTATTTAAAATTTTTATCTAGAATTAACTACAGAAATTTCAGTATTTAATTCTAAATAAAAAAATTGTCTATCTGCAAAGTATTTATTTTATTTTTCTATAAAAAGCAAATCTGTGCTGAAATCAGTTTGCATAAAACTGTTGATATCAAGTAAAGCGTCCTGGAAATAATTTTTGTCCCTCTAATGCATTGGACGTATAATATAATATATGACAGTTTTGTATGGTTGAATGAGTTTTACTAAAGCTGGACTTTATTTTGGAGGCTATATAATTCAGAATTTCAGAACATATACCAGTCAAAGTTTTTGACTATATAATGAACAAATCGCTAACAAAATTAATCATGGTTGAACAAATTGATTAATGTCAATTTGGTTAACCAAGATGAAGGAGGAAGGGAGATTGTGCAAAGCTAGAACTAGGAGACCCTGATCTGAAAAGATCTTAATTTTCCAAAGAATAGATCATAAAAATCAATTTTTAGATCTAAAGATTTTAAATCATTTATTCAAAAATAGTATATAGTATATAAAAAATATAAACTTAAAAAAACAAATAAACATTGTGAAAGTGTCGATATTAAAACCATCATGTTTTCAAAAATTGTGGGAAATAATATTTGCTACATTTCATGAAAATATTATCTCAGAATTCAACCAAATTTTCAAAATTATTTTGTAAAGTCAACTGCAACATTGTTAATGTAACTTTTGTTAAAAATATAATAGAAATCTTAATTTCAAAGAATTTATAATGAATAATTTACTTCTTTTTATTTTATTTTTTATTCATGATATTTACAACTGTATACATCCAGTAAATGTGATACAGAGAAATGCAATGGCATGAAAAGACTTGTAGAGGATCTACACACTAGTGGCATTCTAATAAAGCATCCATCTACATTAGGAGATCATGAGGCCATCTTCTTTTCAGACTCCTCGGGGGTTTATCAGGGATCAAAGATAAAGCAAGGTTGGAAACGAGAGAATTAAGTAGGATGGTTCTGAAATTTATTTTGGAAGGATTGGTATGGGTCAATTCGGTAACATGTAATATTAAAGTCATGGTGATTTTATTTGTAACAAAGTAAGGAGCATTGAGGATTTTACAAAGGCTTTGGTTTGTAAGGATTGGGTATGACAGGAATTGATGGTTTAGTGGAGTCCCAAAGCTCAACTCTTGTATGTCCCAAAAGGCCTTATTATAATCATGTATATGAGTCTTTTGTAATTAATTGGAAGCTTAGATCGTTTGTCTAGTATGTGCCGAAGTAGTCAGAAATGTCAAGCGGTTTTTGTCGTTTCAGTCTGGTATGAGGGTTCCAAGTTGGACGTTTGTCAAGTTTGAGTCCTAGGTATCAGATTTCTTCAACAGCGATAAGTGGGGTATTGTTAAAGGATACTGTAGGACAAGAAGTCATAGGTTTACGAGGGTAAAGGTAATTTGATGATATTTATTGGAATTTATTTTAATTCTCCAATTTTGACACCATTCCTGTGATGTATGATTAAAGAGTTTGGGATGATGGGTCATTATTAACAATCAATATGAATAGGACACATGTGTCATTGGCATAGATGACACTAGCGGATCCAGGATATAATTTTGGGGGAGGGCTTCAGCCCGAAAGCTTTTTTTTTCATAAAATAACGATAATTACTTCGGAAAAAAAGAAAGAAACTAACTACCTGTATGAAAGGGTGTTTAAATGAATCCTAAAGCCCTTTTAAATGTAATTACATGAACAATAATACTTTGAGAGATAATTTTTTTAATATTTTATTCGACAAAACATGGTTATATTTTCCCATTTTGGGAGGGGCTTCAGCCCGAAAGCCCTCCCTCTTCTCTCCCTCCCCCCAATTTTTCATATGTTTTTGGACTGCAAATAGTAAAAATCTTTTGCAGTTCAAAAACACATAAAGTGAAAATATGTCAATTCAAAGTTACAACCATTTTAATTGAGGATCTAAAAAAAAAATTCAGCCCGAAAGCCCTCTCCCTTCCCCCGTAGATCCGCCCATGATAGAAGGGGATGACTTTGTTGGGGTGTCAGCTGTATAAACTGTGTAAAGGATAGGACCTAGGTTACTACCTTGAGGAACACCGGCAGGCTGAGAAAAGAGGGACGAATAGATATTGTTGTGATTTACTTTGAAGTATCTATCAGCAAGACAGAAACAGATCAGGAGGGAGTATGTACGTGGTTGGAATTTATAGAGTTTTTACAGCAGTCCTGGGTGCCAGACTCTATCAAATGCCTGTTCAACATTGAGAAAGACTCCTGTACAGTACATTCCATGCTCCAATATAGAGGAGACCTCTACCACACAATGCTGAATAGTGGAATGGGATCTGCAGGATCCAAATTGGTGATCGGGGATAAGGAATAAGATGGTTTTTTGAGGAAGAAATTTTAAGAAGATCTTGGATGTAATTAGGTCGTTACCAGTAGGTTTTTTTTCGTTTTAATTTTTAAAACAAAAAACGTCCCATACCATGTTGTAGGAGATTTAGTAATGAAAAGGAGCCCTTTTCATTTTATTTCAGAACGTAAACAAATATAAAATTATTTATGTTATGTTTGCTTCTGGATTATAAAACAATCAGATTAATATTGCATGAGGCTGTGGAGGTCAAGCATGTTACCTACTTTATCATTTTTGGACCTAGTGGCCCAGGTTTTAATCCATAGAATAATGATGACCTTCCTACTATATTAAGAATATTGTTTATAACAAAAAAAAAATACCAAGAGAAATGAAATTAAATTAGTTATTATTCTCATATTTGATAAAAATAAAAATTTCTTTAATATTAGTATAAATAAATGTTAATAATAAATTCTTCTTTTTATTTATACTTATATTTAAAAATTATTTATTTTTATAGCTACCATCTCTACCTCACCTGCTAAAAGATCGAATAATAAAAAAAAACCTGGCAAGTCATTGTTGCGTTGTAAAAACAATAGTTTTTCAGGAACATCATTGCTTATTCCTACCAATTTGGACAATAAAGTAGAAAAGAAGAAAAGACCATATAATAAAAAACCGAAAGGTAATTTTTGTACAAAAATTAATTAAAATAAAACTTTTTTTTTCTTACTTCTAAGAATTATAGTTATCAACTTAGTAATTACACATAGTTCTTGTTACTGGAATGCTACAGACCCCACAGTGTTAACATTATAGATATTTTGATGCTTATATCAATTTCAACTATCAGTAATTCTTTGGTTGTTAGATGATACACATTGTTGTCTTTAAATAAAAAAATAAAAGCTCTTTTTAATTTAAAGAATATTTTTAATTTAAGAGGTAAATATCCAATTCAAACAGATGAATAAAAAGGATGATATATTTTAAATTTAAGTTTTATTTAATTCAAGTGATTTTTCTTCCGCCCTCAATATTAATAGGAGATTGAAATGCAGATAAAATTTAATTGACAATTTTAACTCAGTTAAATTTTTTAATTACCCATCTGAATTTTTTTTTAACTCTGAATTGTTCTTGTTTATAGTTGATGTTGTTTATGGAATGGAAGCAGATGTTGAAGTACAGAATATGAAGAAGAGAAAAGAGAAGGTTAAGAATATCAAATTGACAAGTAATCTTCTGTTCTGTACATTTTATGTCATTAATTTTATTAGCATGGTTAATCAAATTATATTCTTATGTTTTTCATATAATTTTGATAAATAACACCAATAAATTTAATAATTTATTAGTTATTGTTACTGTTGGGGCCAGGAGTATTTCAAACTTAAAATACAAACCTTTCCCCAGTGAGTTTCCTCAAAGATGGGGAAAATACGAGTAAAATTAAAAATGAAGGGAAAGAAGGAAAAAATTAGTAAGCAAAACCTTTAGAACGAATAGTACAATCTCAACTATCCCAATATCTCGAACAAAATAAACATTTGAACTGCTACCAGTCAGTCTGGTTTTAGACCAGACTACTCCACTCATTCCGCCCTCATTAAAATCTCCCAAGATCTCCAAAGATCAACAGAAACTCACCATCCTGATCCTTCTTGATTTCTCTAAAGCATTCAACTCAGTTGACCATAATATCCTCCTAACCAAACTTAAAAATATATCCTTATCATCTAGTGCCCTTAAGTGGTTCCAATCCTTTCTCACTGATCGCTCCCATTAGGTTGTAGTTTCTAATAACGCTCAAGCAATGTCTCTACCTCTGTCCAGAGGCGTCCCACGTCATTATCCCCCACCCTCTTTTCCATCTGCATCAATGACCTCCCTTCCTCTATCATACACTGTCGATATCACCTATACGCCGATGACGTCCAAATTTATCTTTCCTTCAACCCGACAGATTCCTCTAATTCCATCCTGAAACTGCAACAAGACATCAATAGAATATGCGCATGGGCAAATCTTAATAAGCTGACATTAAATATGGAGAAGACAAAAGCCATTCTGATCAGATACCCCTCACTCCTCAAATCTATTTCATCACTTCCTAATCTTCTGAACAACTCACCTATCTCCTTCCATACCACTGTTAAAAACCTAGGCGTTACCCTCAATCAAAGCCTCTCCTGGAAACCACACATCTCCATAATTTCCCACCGTACTATATCCACCCTGAAACAATTTAACCATCTATGTTATCTTCTTCTGTTCAAAATCCATCAACTCCTGGTCTCCTCTCTTGTTTTCCCCTACTTCGACTATGGCTGCATGGTGTATGGTGGACTCTCGGGAGAACTCGAAGCCAAACTTAAACGTTTAATGAATTGTTCAATCCGCTTTATGTTCGGAATCTCAAGGGATACGCATATTACCCAGTTGTACACCAAGTTGAAGTGGCTTTACCCATCCTACCGCCGTCAATATTTCCTTGTTACCTTCCTGCACTAAGTCATTAGAACACGGCGGCCTGCCTATGTTCAACAGATCCTACAATTCAAACGCTCCTTTCAATCCCGTCCTACCAGATCCCGTGCGTCCGACCTCTATCCTCCTCCTCACCGAGCTGCTGCATTTGATAAATCCTTTTTAATACAAGTTGTCTCCCTCTGGAACTCTATATCTTCAGATATTCGACACTCAAAATCAATATCCTCTTTCAAATCCCTCCTCTTCAAACACCTACTCCATTCCCAATCTGATTGATCACGAAATGCACTTAAAAACCTAAACTGTAAAAACCTCAAAGTACACCCAGATACTCAGATTATTTTGTAATTCATCGATATTTCGTTTACTTAATTACTTTCTGTTTATATTTACACACATTTATATCTTTTTATCATTTATATCTTTTTATCATTTATAACTTTATTGTACTCCGAATCAACCTGTAAATATTAAATTGTATTTTATGAACACACCAAAATATTAATATATATTCTGTATTTGTAACTTGTTCTAAAGGGACACTAGTCCCAGAATAATAAAATAATTTTCATTTCATTACCTTACCCCAACATTAAAAAAATAAAGATGAAACTTGTCAGAAATGTTTATTACCCTTTCGATAATAACTGGTAAAAAGTCCCAAAGAAGTTAGGAATTATCTCACTACAAAACATGGCAATTTACTTCTTTTAAAAGAATAGGTTACTCTGAAGTGAAATGACTAATTGTTTAATCTTGACTATTCAATGGCTACCAGGTATTCCAGACTTCAAGAGACTTAAGCAGGTTTGTGCCCCACACACAGTTGGAGTGAAAAATGTTGCCACTTTCTGGTAAATACATTTAGTCTAGTAAAATTAGGGATTGACCCCAATATTCAGAAAATAAAGGTGAAACTTGTCATAAATTGTTTATTACCCTTCCCATAATAACTGGTAAAAAGTCCCAAAGAATCCTGCATCGAGTTTTGAGGCGGGGAGAGAGAGAAGGATAGAAAAATTATATTTTTTTAAGAATACCTAAAAAATTGTGAGGTATTTTGCAAATATTGTTCAATATAATATTAAAGAACTTTAAATTCTTTTAAAAATGATCCTATAAATTTTTTTGATAAAATCAATAGTTATGAAGATATATATGAGATTATATTTATTGTATTTTCACTTTAAGCCAAAATTGCTTCAAACCACAAAATTGATATTGTTTAAGTTTAGATTGACATCAATTTCATACAATTGATAACATGTGATAGAAGACATTAAAACTAATAAAAATTTAACATAAACCATGTTCTATGGTCTGATTACTACATACAGAGAACCAGAAAACTAGAAAACTTAAATTTTGAAATTTTTATGCCAACCACGTTTTATGTTAAATAAAAAGTTATAACTAATAAAAGATTTAATTTAGGCTACAACTTCTTAAAAAACTAAAAAAATATTTTTTCTGTCCTCCCCTCCTCTATCAAAAGCTGATACGGGATTCTTTGAGACTTTTTATCAGTTATTATAGGTTTTTATTTTTGAAAAGTTTCATCTTTATTTTTTTAATGTGAGGTCAATCCTTAATTTTACTGGACAAAATGTGTTTACCAGAAAGTGGCAACATTTTTCACTCCAACTGTGTGTGTGCAAATCTGCTGAAGTCTCTTGAAGTCTGGGTCTAGAATGCCTGGTAGCGATTGATGAAAAGTCAATGATTAAACAATTAGTCATTTCAGAGTAAACTACTCTTTTAAAAGAAGTAAATTGCCATATTTCATTGTGAGATGATTCCTAACTGCCTACAAACACATTAAGTATTGTCCACTTGATTAGGCTGTCCGCCGCTGTGAACGTGTTAATGAATTTCTGTTTGTCAAAATTATTCTTAAATTTTTCTTCATAATATGAAGGTGTTTGTTTAGAAGTATAATTTGCATTGATTATAATGCTAATCACTTAATTCATCCATTATATCTTATTTTAATATTGTAAGAAAAAAATACTCATATAAAAATAACATTGTGTAAAGTAATTGATGGAACATAAATGATTGATTTAAAAAATAGTTAGTTGAGTGGTGTGGTCAATGATCACACACTATGTTGGTGTAATATTTATTTATAACCTACATAGCCCACTTTATAGATCTTTATCAGGACTAAAAAGAACAAGTTACGAAAAATCACTATAAATTGGTACAAGGTCCAAAAAAATTAAAATAAGAGTTAATGTTGGATTAGTACAAGACATCAGATACAAATATATCATTTTTTTTACTAACGATTTTTTGATTTGTCCTAAGCTTTAATAAAAAAGGAGATTTTTGTCCGGCAAACTGCTAAACTAAAGATTATGAGTTCAAGACCCAGTGTTAGAGGCTTTTAACTCTGGCATTATTCTCCCATCCCCTCCCCTGGCCTGGAAAAAAAAAAAGGCGAGGTAGTGGAGAAAATAAAAGAAGGTGTATCTGTTAAATCTATTTATTCTATGTTCATTCACAGTTGAACTCTCAAGCATCTCTAATATTTTAATTTTAGTAGACAAACTTACTCCTATTATTACAATAAAGTTTAATAGGAAAAGTATACTTCATATTTTGTTTTCAGATTCATCTTTACCTGTCTTGAGTTTGGGGTCTGAACAGGAAGTGAAGGGCAAGGTTGTAATTAATACTTCCCAGGTAAAGGAGTTTCAGTAATGCTTAGAATATTTACTTATAGGAGAAAAACATGAAATAATTGTGGAGAGGTTCTCTATGAGTTTAAGGTTTCTATTAAGTGTTCCTTACATGGTCAATGTTTACTGATGAAAATATTGAAGAACAGCCTTCCTTTTTTTCCACATTTACATGATCAGTAATACTGAAAGCATTATTGATGTATTAATCCCTTATACAATCAATAAATACTCTAGTTATTCCATTTTATCTTCCTTGGTGTTCTCGAACCTGGAAGTTGGAGAATAATGGAAAATATGGTTAGGCTTTGTTTTACACTTTTATTTGAAGAAGAGAGAAAAAAACAAAAGTTGTTATATTTTATTTTTAAAAAAGTTAATGGAAAGAAATAAGTTTACTCATTTAAATTTACTTAATTAAATTGTAATTTAAAAATTTAGAAGATTTTAAAAATTAATTTTGAATGAAAGCTACCATTTTTTATGTTTTATTGAATTTAACAGTTCTCTTCATAAAAAACAGAGTGTACAAATATGAGAGAAAGCATCTGTCCAAGCTAACAACTTGTAAGAAATCTTGAGGCCCTTAAATTTTTGTTATTGATTTCTCCAATCACTATCGGCTACATTGCTCAGGAATAAAATGCTCTATTATTCACAGTACTACATTTTACAAGAATAATTTTTACTATACATAACATTATTTATCGGTTTAGTAAGATTTGATCAATGATGCTAAATGAAAACTAATTCTAAAAAATTTTCAACAAGCACCACTGCAGGGATACTCTTTTTATGACATTTTTGTCCTTTTTTTAAAATCCCTTAGATACTCTTGTTGCTATTTGTTATCACCATAATGAGTAATTACTATTTTGGAATCTTTCATAGGACACTTCTTGTGAACAATAAATAGAGTAATAGAAAATAAACCTCTGCTGAGTTAATTCATTTGGAGAAAAAAGGAAATTCTAAAAAAATATAGTCTTCCAGTCAGTTAAACTAAATGTCAATGACAGAAACTTGAAAAAATAAACTATTCAGAAATCAAACAAATGGATTCCTAAAAAAAAAGGAAGTTATTTGTAAATGTAATAGATAAGTCCAATTTAACATATTTTGTTTTGGTTGGCTTATTTTTTGTTAACTGGGACTAGAAAAAAGTAATTTCCTAAATAATTTCAATAATAATAACCCTTTAATTAGGAAATACTTCGAATGAGGGGTATAAATTATATACACATCAGTCACTGACCTTTACAAGTACTAAGTAATGATGAGTGCAGTTGAACAACTCTTTATATTTTCAGTAAATGCTGTCAATATCCTCATTCTTTTTTATTATTACATCGAAGAATGATCGAAGAGTACTGAACAACCACCAATTTCTCATTATCGGACTTAGCTTCATCACTACCTACTTTATACAATCAATAATACCTTCAGTATTTTTATCATTTCAATAATACTGAGTATTTCATATTGTATGTTTAAGGACCGCTTTGTAGTTCATTCAAGAGGCTTATGCAATTATTATTAACAATTTATTTTGTATCATTTGCGGTTAATAATTTAATTAATTGACCTAAAAAGAAATTCAAATCTCTTTTACATTTCAAGATATATATTATGTATCCGCCATTTATAACTTTTATTTTTAGATTTAACACCAATATCACAGGTAAACTCAAGTTGATCTTACATTTTTTATGGAGACAAAGTGCTATTATGAAGTATTTTCGAATCATACCCTTCCCCCACCTCTAAAATAAATTTAAAAAAAATAATATTGACTCTATTGTTGTCTCTATAGAGGTTTACATTTCAAGATATATATAATCCATAAATTTGATTGTATTCTCTACAAAAATTATTGAAATAATTCAAGTATTAACAAAAATACATCATTTTGACACTCATATTCATAGAAGTAAAGTTTTTATCATATATTCTCATTGAAACTCATTCCCCTTTGTTTGATTTTCGTTTATAACTTGAAAAGTATACATCCCCCCCAACATTCTAGATGCTCATGCTCATTCAATAAAATTATTGAATTGTCTAAAGTTAAACTAAGAAAAAATGTTTATAGATCTGATATTAGCAAATAGTTCTTATATTGAATTTTCTCCTAAAGTGGCAAGAGAAATTGTATGCGAAAACACACCACATATTTCTGATTTATAACTATTATTGAAAATGAATTCTACATATCGATGGATTACTTCTAAAACCTTCAGTATACAAGAAGTTAGGCTTAAAAAGTTTTAGAAATAAGTCATTAAACAAATCAAGAACTTTTTATAGTAGTATTAGTATATATTTTATTGATTAATAACTAATAATTGCTTACTTTAATTCAGAATTAAAGTGCTAATTCTGTATATGTATCTTCTTTTATGAAATATTTCATTAGTACGATCAAGTGTCTTATATTTGTTTGCTTTCTATTACTTAGGTGCCAGATGTCGTCGATATTGAAGATCCTGCAAAAAGAATTAATTCTAATTCATGCAATAAATTGGATGCCAAAAGATCAATGAATTTCAAAACATACAAGAAATCAGAAATTACTATACCTGTTACAAAGACTATAAAGAATTACTTTACAATGGATCTGAAAAGTTTAAATAATCAAGAAAAGTTTATAAACATTACAGAAGATTTCCTGAAAAAAGATCAAGGATCTAAATGTCTAAATAATGAACTACTTAATAAGAGAAATAAGGTTGATATAGAGGTCAATGCCTTTGATTGTGGTTCCTCAGGATCAGGAATTGAAGTTCCAATTGAGAATTTGGAGGAAGTTGTTAAGAATGGAGAAACAAGCCATTACATGAATGAAAGTTTCTCTGTTGATGCATTAGAAAAAATTGTTAAAGTTATCGATGATCCTTCCTATGAAGGTAACAATTTAAAAAAAAAGTTGAGCGGCATCATAAATCAAAGCAAGGTATCTCATATAAATGTTCTGCATTCAAAGGATAATTTAGTGACAAATGATCACAATTATATAAAGTTACGTGCAATAAACAGTGAATACAATTCAAATCCTGACTACGATTCTAAAGCAGGTTTTTGTAATGAAATATTAGATCAAACCAATTCTCAAATTAATAACACAGGATGCAATTTCAATCTGAATAATAAAAATATCAATGACAGTAATAACAACATAACTGAAAATAAATCATCTTATTGTTCTAACCCTTGTAAAGCAGATCCATCAGACATCAATAGTATTGAAGTGAATTCTAATGCAGTTGAAACTAAAACAGAAGAATTGATGAATACTGAACAATTTTTGCAAAATAGTATTGATATCAATTATTCTCAAAACCTTATACCTGCTAATGTTTCTGAAAATGATTTAAATAGCATATCTTTAGCTAAGATTACGAAATGTCAACACTTTAAAGGCAACAAGGTTACCAATGTTAAGTCTCTTGATTTAGATTTTTCAGATCTTTGTTGGACCTAGTTGCCATAATAATTATTACAAAGTTACATTGTACATATTTTTATTAAAGTATTTGTATTTCATTATTAGCTTTTCAATTATTCCATACCTCTTGAGTTATGTCCAAAAATTGTTTATGACGGCACCAGTGTAAGGTAAAATTTATTTTAAATATTAAATAATAGATAAGGATAATTGTAAACTTCTTTACAAGTCTACCTTAAATCATAAATTGTAAACAAAATCTGAATTTTAATTCTCTTTCCCTCTATAATTTTGTTAACAAGGGATCAATTTTTCCATGATTCTAACTATTTTCCCATTGTTTAGTGACAGACATGAGGGCAGGATACCTCAGTGAGTAAAGCACTGACAACTAATGTATAAGGTCCGGATTTAGATTTCAGCTGTGGCAGATAATTATTTATTCTGTTACATCAGCGCTGATCGACCTTGGGATCAGGAAACCCTCCTGGGGTACACCCAGACTCTTTATAAAATAGTCACTCTTAATTAGATAATTAATTAAGGAAAAAATCCTGGTGGTTGAGTGTGAGTTAGGTGGCCCAGTCAGCTGTCTGTATAATCATTGGCCTTCAACAGTACTTCTTACAAAGTATTGAGCCTAAGTCACTCCATGGATTGTAGTGGTACAAGTTAGGGGTAGGCAAAAAAGTTAAAATAAATATATAAATAGACACCTCACAGTAATAAGCAGCAATAATTGTGTTATTCATGCAAAAAATCAATAAGCCAAATGCATAGCTGTTTGAAAAAAACAGCTGAAAGAATCTTGCCTGCTGTCGGATGAGTCTTAGCTTTTACTGGGGCTATCTCACATTGCCTCCACCACTCCATATTGGTTTGTTAGGATTCGGGAATGTAGTGGTGAACCCATGTTTCATCCCAAGTGGTGAACCAACAAACAAATATAACATCTTTTGAAAATTTTGCTGCGAGTCTCTGACAGACCTCCTAATGTCCTAAGTTCTGATTTTTGGTCAGAAGGTGAGGTGCCTATCTGGCCTGTACATACTATATGGCATTTATATTGTTTGTCATCATCGCTTGATAGTTCCCATAACTTATTCTGTTCTGTACTGCAATTTCTAATTGTATTGAAGAATGTCTTAATCAGTCCAAAGGTTTTTGTTTGTAATGCTGGTCTGAGGACGGCAACAGTGTTGCTGATTTCTCACATGTCCTTGAACTCTTAATGCCGGTGGCAAACACTCACACTCTTGACAATATGTTTGATCACCAAAATGAGCCGAAGAAGAAATTTTTAATTGTGCAGTATAGAGGTGCACCTTCATGGGAGTGATAGCTTGGTTGGAAGTGTGGAATGGTTCTCTCCACTCGTAATGGTCTCACCCACAGAACTGAGTGGGAGTCTGGCTCTACCAACTGTAGAAGCACAGGAACAAATATCCTATTTATATTTTATTTACCTTCATACATAGAAATAATTATTGTGAAGATGGCAGAAAGAATGAAGTTCCTGATCTCATTTATACTATGAAGTATGTTGGCTCAGAAAAAGTCGTTATTACAAGATTAGTGAATTTAATTAAAGAAATGCAACTTATCTCAATATCCTAATTTTGTTGAACAGAAGTACTATGTTTGACTAGTGGTTTTAGGATTTATTACAGAGATAATAAAAAGTTGAATTATTTAAAAATTGAGCTATAGAAGAAAGAAAAAAATTGTAAAACCAGATAGGTTTTTTAATATCATTCCTGCAAATTATATAATTTGGCATTTAGATTCAGTTGCACCAACTGTTATTAATTTTACTAATTTTGGGTACTTAATATCACTGGTTAACAGAATTTTTGTAGCACTGATGTTGATTTGATTAGCCTTATCACCGTGCTAAGTTATAACTCACTCAATCATCATCCGTATTATACATACGGTTGCATTACTTGTTACTTAATAACAAATATTTTTTTCTTCTGAGAATACTTGTGTAGTGTTTTAGAAGACAACAAATATGATTTCATATTAATATTATGACTTCTTTTATTTCCTCTTAAAATTCAAATATGAGCTGCTGATTGAAACTCCTTGGTGGCATTAAATGGTTCTGCAATCTGTGCCCATGCAAATTTTTTTTCTTTTATTGCTGACCTGTCGGTTTTTTTATTTTTATTATTTTGAAATGTTCAGAAATAACAGAAATCAGTAATTGCTTTCCACTTTCAGTAAAATTGCTTACTCTTTCTCATTTTTCACCGTCTTTACAATAATTATTTAACGATAATCACTTTTATACCTTCGACAGGTGTAAATATCAAAGTGTACATGTAAGTGGTTGGAAGGTTTCATAATATAACCCAAGTTCTTTTACAATCACTGGTTCTTGCTAATACACATCACAAATAAGATGTCACATATTAATCCCTTGTTAACTAACTCGGTTTAAAATTATTTGGAGCAAATGGATCCAAATTTTAACCTTGGTCAAACTTTATCAAAATTTAGTTAACAGAGGTTTTAATCATCCTTAGTTTACTCACAACTGTTGGTCCAACCAGTCATTAACAATTTAAAGAAAAAATATATAAGTAGTGCTTGTAATAATTTATTTGCAATCTTTGAAATTACTTGAATTAAAATTTGTTGTCAAGGGATAAAAACAAAATGAAAAAAGTTTATAATATATAGATATATTCATAAATATTGTCTATAAATTAAATTAATTAGAAAACAATTCTAATTGGTGTAATAACAATATATGCTTAATACAGTAAAACTATAATTACTCTTAGCTATGAAAATAATAAATCATAAATATTCTGAGATTTTATTGATGCTAATAATTCCATAATATAAATAAGTTGTTGGTCAGCTGATGTAAAGCTAACTATTTCAGGATATAATATATAAGCTAACTGCAACCATAAAAAATCAGTTATTCCTACTTAATTATTGCCTATAAACTATCTAATTTGAATATTTTCAGCTTAAAGGAAGTCCTCATATTTAATTGCCAGAGCTTCAAAGCAGTAAAAATTAGTAAATACTAATACTGATATACAAATGTATATATATATTTTTTGTAACTTATATAAATAATTGGACAATAGTTGGCAGAAATGGCCTAAGGTTCTTTTATTTCTGAATTTTTCATTCTTGTGGTATTTATAGAATTTGTCTATAAGCCAATTGATTAGAAACAAAATCCGTTTTACATTATTGCTATGGGCCACAGGACATCTACTGATCAAAGAAAGAAAATGCATACATTGATTTGTAGCCTTATCACATTAAAAAGAAAAATTATTAGGTACGTTCCTACGTACAACTGTCCAATTGTATATATAAGTAAAATTTAAAGAAGAATTTAGAGAAGAATTAAGACTTAAACTTGTTATAGGGTGATCAATTATACTGTTATTAATGGCTCTTGAAGGTGTCCATACAGTTTTCAAAAATGTCTTATATTTTTCTTAGTAAAAAAAAAAACTTTTAAGTATTGAACTTTATTCTTATTGCAAACAAAAAGTTTAAGTTATGAGAAAGTTTAAACAATCTCATAAATTTATTAAATAGTATTTTTTAGTTTAAAGCATCAAACAATAATAATTTTGCATTTATTTGTATCGTGATTATAATCTCTATAATAAATTAATTTCAAATTACATCAATTTAAGACATCACAAATTAGATAACTAACTTTTTCTTAAAATTATCAAGTTTTTAGGTCCTTTCTTTTCCTGAGGATATTTCTTACAACTCTCATAACCTCTCCCCCTCCCTGTAAGTCAACAATCACCTTTTGGAACAAAACATTTACTTACACCCTAACTTGTTACAATATCAATAAAAAAGTTGACATTATTGAAAATTATGATCAACTAAATTTAATTAATTTTTATTACAAGATGAATAAATAATTGACAAAATAAAATGGAATGTATAATATTTTAATAGGATAATAGAATTAAATCAAATTCTTTTTTTTTAAATATATATTTCAGATTAACTTTGCCTTCATTTATTTTGTACCTTATTTGAAGTTTTTATTCAACTGAACAGGGAAATGTCTTCGCATGAGACACTAATGGTGAGTAACGACAAGGACACGAGTTCAGTAGACCATGCACTCGCACCATAACAACACACTACTTCACTACAGTACACACACTTGGGTCACCTTTTCTGAATATAAATTGGATGGGGGAGCTGGCCTACAGACTATATGTGACAGCCCCACCAGTAGGCTAGGGTATAGAGAGAGGGTCCCTCTACCCGAAGTAGTTAACATTACGAAACAAAAACCAGCCTCGGACTGGATGGGATCTGCACAGGACAGGGACAATGGGCGGAAGCTGCTGGATTTAAGACTAGGCTACAGAGCCATGATGATTGATTGATTGAACAGAACAGCCCAGTGATTTTTTTTACTACAAATTAATAAATTAATATATTTTTATTTAATTTTCTTAGGGTATGGAAAATTACCAAATCTAATATGTGTAACAGTGTTCGATGATCATTTTATATTAATCAGTCTTGAGAATAATATAATACTTCTAATAGCATAGTCTTAATCGATTATAATGTTCTAAATTTATCGCTAAATCTGTATTCTAAATTTAGAGAAAAAAGTAATAATTTTAAAAAGCCTATAAAGTTATTAATTTTAACTTGATTTTTTTTTTCTAAAATATTGAAAGATATATTCTAGAGCAGCTTTCGAGTGATCAATAGACTCGTGAATTTTATTACAAGATCAAAATTACTAATCACTTATTCACTAGGATATATTAAGAGTATAAATTCCTAAATTAAAAGTGACCTAGTAGGATTCGGATCAGCAAAATAATAAAATAAATTTTTTCATAGTCACAACATTTATTTTTATCTATGATATATTAGTGTTTCCAAAGAAAGAAAAAAATATGACCAAAATCCAAATGGGTTGTCAATCAATTTTGACTCAAAAAAATAAAATTTACTTGAGGTTAGAATGAGGAGAAAATCTCAACTAAAATCAGAAAGCTGAAGGAGAGGATGAGCTTATTAATATCTTTTTAAGAAAATGAAAAATAGCCTGAACATAAAATCTCATAGTGCTATATTTATATGAAACCTTTTGTTGGACCCATTCTTGGAAATGATGTTCTATTATTTTGTCCTAAGATCTAGTCTTTAATATTGTTGCTACTCGATGAGATTCATGATTTACATTTATCAAGTCAATACATATATAAAATAAGTAATACAGCTATTATCTCTCCGCATTTGTTAGTTGCTTCCTAATCACATTTTCTTCAAAATATATCACAAAAAAAAAAAAATTAGAAAGTTATTTGGTATTAACAATAATGGAGAAATATTTAAATAATGGCATATCTATTTTGTGAGATAAAAATTAAATAATTTACAATTATTTATAAATCATTTCCAAGATTCTCTTTTTTTTTTTCTCAAGCTATTTCAAATAGCTGTTTAGTCCTCTTAATTGGTGTTATTGGATAATTTTTTATTAATACGTAATAAAAAGCACCTTAAGGAATAATTAATATCATAATCAAAGATACTTTAACAGTTTTCATTAATAATGGGACCATTAAAAACTAAATTTTCCTCTAACTTTAAAAAAGCCGAGGGAATTCTTGTTATGTATGAGAGCTCCAACACCAATATAATTTTCAAGAAGAATTGGCCTATGCTGTAAAGAACACTGAAGGGTTTGAATTTTTTCTTCAAACAGCTTCTTCAATTCAAGAACAAAGTCATCAACGCTAAATATCCGCCTTTCTTTGGTTTCTTCGTCTGAAATGAATAAATACAGATTATTATTTAGGTCTCTTCAAAGTTTTATTACAGTTTCAATAGGCTAAATATAAATCATGAACATATGTCTCAGGTTTTGAACTTTTTAATTTTAAAATATTGAGTTCAATTTCATTATGATTACTCTTATTAGCTCTGTACTCCAAATGAATATTTTATAAGCTCTGTACTTCAAATGAATCTCTTATAAGCTCTGTACTTCTAATGAATCTGAAGATTCAGTTAATAAACTTCAGATCATAATCCTGATAAGAAAATGTTTATTCAAATATCTTTTTCACAGTGCAATAATTTTATACTTTATATTGTCGGTTTTTCCTGTTTTATTTCTACTTAAAGAAATTTTTGGTTATACATAGCATTTTTTTTACTTTATATTTGAAAATTATTATCCTTTTTACTTTTATTTACCTATACATGAAATAAATGGAAATATTTCGGATCAGTTGTCAATGGAAATAAACACTTTAAGGTCTTTTGAGTCCAAATAATCAAGTATCACAAAATAGTCTGTCTGAGAACAAAAATGAAAAGTTGTCCAAAACTTAAAGAATATTAAAGCAAATTTTTCACTAAAATCCACCCATTGGAAGTACCACTTAATATTATTGACTTTAAAATTTCCTCAAAAATTGTTCGTAACAATTTAGATTTAGCTTGTTATATCAATGTCCAATTAAAATTTTTTAATATCAGTTAGGTATTAACCTCACTAAAATAATCTGACTAGCCTTATATCAAAGAGTGGCATCAGGGGAGGTGCTCTTCTTGCTCTCTCTCTCTCTCTCCAATATTTTATGAAGGAGGCAGGAGTTTCACTGCCTTGAAAGTATTTCATAGTAATTAACTTTAAAAGTCACTCAGTATATTTATTACAGGTTGTACACTGATGACAGAGATACTTTATGTATGCTGTTCTAACCTTCGATCTTCAATATTTCTGAAGTTATGTCTAATGACTTCGATGCCAAATTTTCAATAACCTTTAACTTTGTTTATTTGAAATTGATAGTAGTAATAAAAAATCTGGTGTGGTGCGCGTATCACACAATTTTCACTTACCACTCTCTTCTTATCAGAACTAAGTATTTTCAGACAAAGGGGAAGTAAAAGTAAAAATTATATATGCTATATTTATTTATACTTCATAGTGGATATTTTCATTCGTTAAGTACCCTTTTATATATAAAAGGGTACTTAACGAATGAAAAAAAAAATATATATATATATATATATAAACAAATTTTGATTTCTATATCGCTGTAATCTGTACAATTAAATATTAATACATATCAATACATAATATTGTCAGAGTCTGTATTATATTAAGCTCATGTTACACATGGAAGCCTGCTCTAATCGTTGGTTCCTCCATTCAAACTATTCTCCGTTACGATATCTTATTTCTCCTTTAGTTAATCATAAAATTCTTTCAAATTTTATATTTACTTTTTTTCATATCAATCATGTTAAATGGTTATCTAAAAAAAAAAAATTAAAGGTACTTGAGAGGAAGCTAATATTGAAAATTAGCCATGTCAGAGAACTTTAGTGAGAATAAAACCCATATTATATTAAAACTACTTAATTTTACACTGATATAATGAATTTAAAATCAAAACCGTTTGAACCGTTTTTGAGAAAATTGTAAAAAAAAAAAAAAAAATGTGTTAAATAGATGATAAAAGTGCCACTTCCAGTAAGCCGATTCTGTCGAAAAAGTTGCTGTAACATCCCAGGCATATAAACCTTAAAGATACAAATTCACTTACTTATGAATTTTTATTTTTGAGTTGGACTGTTAACACACACACACAGACCATTTTGGGACACTTGGTTATTTGGACTAAGGGAAACTTAAAACCTGTATTTCTGTTGAAAACTGAGATTTGAAAATTTCACATATAGGTAAGTTAAAGTAAAAATGGATAAATATAAACTTAAGTATAAACAGAAGTTGATGGAGCAAGAAGGCGATGAGTGTGGCCAAGTTCTCCTGCGTACTCGCCAGAGTGAAATAAGCATCGTCTGTTAAAAATCAGTTAGGTCTAATCCTCATCATATAGTCTGATAGGATTTAAATGCCAAAATTTCAGAAATGGCTTCTAAAATAATTTTACTTTTTTTTTATGTTTTAGAATAATTGACTGTCTTTAATGTTAGGAGTAATAAAAAATAAGTATAAAATACGAAAAAAATTTATGATTACCTAAAGCAAAAATATATTCCCAATTTGAAAATGAGTTGAGAAGCTAAAGTTTTAAGAAAACTTAATATCTGAATTACATTATGAGGGTAACGAAAACCCATAAATTTAACAGATTAAAAGAGTGGAAAAACATGATAAATTAAAGGTGGTCCAACATTCAATTAAAAAAAACAAACCGAAAACCTTTTTTTTCCTATGCCTGCTTGATCAGCCATATCTTGCAGTCCAATATAATTTCGCTGACCTAGCATAAGAGTTGTCTGTTTAACTAAAAGCACATTTTATTTCCTGTAATGCAGGATATGTATCAAGATGTTCTCCTGTCATAATATCCAAAGAGCATAGAGGACATGTCGGGCTATCTTTTATACCAATGCGGTGGAGGTGCTTCTGTAGGAAATCATGCACTGTAAGCATTCTAAAGCATGCCACGAATTGCCCTCTAGGGAGATCTCTTGGGATCCTGTCACTTAAATTATTCCGTTCTTATTCAGCAGTACTTATATATATTTTTTAATATTATTTTTATTAAGCAGTCCGATTCGTATGTCTGACTATAACAGAGGTAAAATGATTTCAGGAACACCCAATTCAATTCTATCTAGACCAGAAAATTTGAATACTCTAATGCTGATTGGAAGTTTTCCAATCTTCCCTGAAAAGTCAATCACTTATTAACCATTTACCACAGACAACTAATAACAAGAAAACTTTAAATAATTATTTATTAAATGATAATTTAAGAAACTAGGATTTAGATTAATAGAAAGTAACATGAAGCACCTTTATGCCACATCAACGGATGGGATGTAAAAGTTGTGAATGGAATATCTTTTTCAAATGGATTCCATTTCTTCAGAAATGGAACTGGTATGCCTTCACCCCACATTAGTCTCACACCATTAATGTTCCTTGATCTGAGAAACAAAAAGTACATCATAAAACAAAAAAAAAAAAATAGATATATGGTCCAAGGCATTATAAATAATGCGTTTTAAATTAATATTGGCCATAATCATACAAAAGTTAGTTTTATTGATCAAAATCATTTCAAATTGATAAATCAAACAGTACAATTAATTTAAATAGGTGCTGAAGAAATAAAAGTAAGCAGAATCATGCAATCAAAAGATAATTTTCAGTTCAAGAACAGTTGTAACTTTTAATATGTGTATGTATGTATATATATATATATATATATATATAATCTTAAGTGTTTTTCTGAAATGTCATAATTAGGGCAAATCGCTTATTATTTTAGATAAATAAGGCAGATCACATTAAAATAAAACATAATGCACATATTGCACCATTGACCGATTACTGTAATAGATATTTTACCAACAGACTTATAATAGATAACTTAATCTTTAAGAGACATAATAACAATAAAACTTGTTTACAGTCAACCAAAATTTGTACAACGTTCAAAAAATTGAGTTTAATTTTTTAAGTTCATATATGAGCTAAGAAGATCATCCAATATATTCTTAAAGGTCCTCTTTCACAAAATATTGACATTTTGGTGTCCTTATAACTCTATCATCAAAACACCTCCAAAAAAATCAAAATCAATTAATATCTAACATAGAAATGTTTATGAACCCATTAAGATGTACTAATGGAGAAAACTAATTATCTGCATATTTCAAATATTATTGTCTAATCTAAAAATAATTAAGTAGGTATAATTATTGGAAACTTTGCCAAAAACTTGAAAATTCAGTCAATTTGTCAGGGCAAATTTATTACAACTATGTCCACTTCAATTTCTTCATTCTTTAAATCTCCTGGAGACTACTCCTCAAATATCAACATATTGTAAACAAAAATATTAAGAATATAATAGATGTTTATTACAACAAACGTCCTACTAAATTTTTAAAATTAGTTTCTAGTTTATCATAAAATATAAAACCATATCCTAGCAATTCTTTTATTTTCTGAATTGCTTGGTTTTATCAGATAAATTTAATACCTTGGTTCGAAATTTCCACCCCTTAAAACGTTTGTATTAGTACAAGGTGGCATACCAGCCAAACGTTCTTGGATTGGTCTTACAAGGCACCCTTTTACAATATTTGAAACACCAGTAGCTAACCCATCTAAATGCCTGAAACATATATTAATCGTACATACATGTTTAGAAATTAATAATCTATTTAGGCAACAATTTTGAAATAATTACGGAATAAGTGATGTGGCAGGATAGGATAATTCTCCAATTATGATTGTGTCAATTATATCTAATGAGGTTTTTCGCTGATCCAGCTGTTTCAGTGCTATGAAATCATATTTGATGGTATATAAATACTTATCAGTTAAGATAACTAATCTTTCTTTCTCACTGTCCCAGAAGCTGATTCTGAAAAGTTACAATAAGTTAAATTGGATAGTTAATGTTACGCATATGTGGCAATACAAATGCCTACTCTGTTAGGAGCCAACAGCCTATGATTTCCCCACCATCTTCAGATAATAGTTCAGTCTTACATTCTTCAATAGCTGATGAGATCAAACCATTACGAAAACAAAAATAATCTTTGGCATTTTCTCCAGACCAGGGAACCAATGCAAGTGAATTGGGTCTTGCTTCACAACAAACAATAAAGTTAGAACTAATCAGATACTACATCTTACAAAATCTGAAGTAATAAAGAAACCTTTTTTGGGAGCTGTCGGATTAGTGGCTTCCAATGAACCATTTTGAAGCGGGTCATCCATCTTTTTGAGTTCGACTTTATTTGTGTTAATTTTATTAGAACTATCTCCATCTATTTCTAACATGGCCCGTTCAAAACATCTTTCTGGACCGTCATCAAACGTCAAGGGGATTTCTTCATCTTTCATAGTGCCCTAAGTTTGGGCAGAAGCTTAATCAATACAGTCCAACAGGCTGCAGGTTATCTGTTGTTTACAATGACCTCTTATCAAACTTTCTTTAATGTTTTCATTTGAAATTAAATTGTTATTATAAAAATAATAAAACTGTATTGTTTTATTCACATGAATTCTGTAAATTCATTTTCTTTTAATTTTCAAATGCTATAAGGATTATAATTGCAATTACGTATAATATACTTCCGTTAATTATTCTATTTAATAAAGATATTTGAACAATAATAAATTTTAAATACTAAATTATAAACTTTAAATACTTAGTGGTAAACTTCAAACATATTTATTATCAATTATAGGCACTTAATTTCGCCTACGGCTTCGCAGAAGTAGAAGCCTGGATAAAAAAAGAGGGATTCTCTTTACAAACTGAGTGTACAACTAAGCAGTTTCAGGGAGACGCCTTGACCAGAACACCAAGGCAGGTGAAGCAGAGAGGACATGTCGGTAAAATCTCAAAGCAGCCCCATAAATTAGACTTCAGAACTATGGGCCGAAAACCTATGCACGAAAAAACTATAATCAACTATGAAAGAAAGAACAGCACTGGAAAAATATTAAGCAATAGGACCCGACAAGGAAAACGGCGTGTGAGATTTGGAACTTGGAATGTCAAAGGGAACAGTTCTTAATTTCTGAGATGAAAAGAACAAAAGTAGATATTTTCAGAATCACTGAGACAAAGAAACGACGAAGATAAGAAACTGCTAATGGATAACACAATCTTCTGTATGCTGGAGTGGGAGAGATAGATCAAGCAGCAGCTGGAGTCGGTTTTCTGTTTGAAAGGAACACGTCAGTCCTGATCGAAAGTTGGAAATTTGTGTATTTCATAATCATTTTCGTAAACATTAAGGAAGGAACGAGCCTGTGAACAAATATTATTACCTACTTCCGAAAATAATTTGCAACAGCAACAGAGAAAGAAACATTCTTCGACCAATTTCAAAAGAAATAGATGATGCTTTCGGCAAACCAATTATCCTGAGAGATTTGAATAGTATAGTACAGAAGGTAAGGAATGTTGGCTTCTGGTTCATGGGGAAATTAACTTCAATGAAAAAGATTAAAGGATCCTTATTGTTCTGCACAGCGAACAATAAGGATCGTTGTGGGTGTACTATGTTCCCTCATCGAGATATCGTTATCATGGATGGCTCTACAACTCCTGCAGAGTCAGGACCTTCTGCAATTTCAAACGTCAGTCCGCTCCTAGTAGCAGTGCTGCTGCCTTCCACTTGTGGACACCAAGGATACTTTGGGCGTATGCTGCCTTGTGGCGAAGATCCGTTCATCTATCAACTTCCTTAGCACATGTTGTTCAGAAATACGGAGAATGTGTCCTGCCCATCTCAACCTGCCAATTTTCATTAGCATCACAACATTGGCTTCTTTATATAGCTGCATCAGCTCATTGTTGGATCGCATTAGTCGCTCCTAATTAATATTTATTATTGGGCCGAATATTCTTCTTAGGATACGACGAAGAGAAGGTGAGCTGTTTCTTGGGCTCTTGACATTGTCCAGAAACTCAGAGCCATATGTTAGTACTGGTCTTATTAGGGTTTTGTACAGGAGTAGCTTGGTTTTACGAGAGATCACTCTACTTTTGAGTTGTTTCTGGAGACCAAAATAAGCTCTATTTCCGGCCATGGTGTGCCTCTGCATTTCAGGATTTATGTCGTTATTTACATTCACTTGAGAGCCAAGGTATATGAATTCCGAGACATCTTCAAAAATCATCCCTCCGATTTCTACATTTGCCTCTCTGTGTTCTCCACCCTTGGGTCGGCCCGCAAAAGCTTTGTTTTCTTCTCGTTGACCTTTAAGCCGATTCTCGCTGCTGCTTCTTGTAGCGCTAAGAAAGCATCTTTTATAGCTGCCCGTGTTCTTCCAACTAATGCAAAGTCATCGGCAAACCCTAGTAATTGCACTGAACGATGAAAGACCGTTCCCCCAATCTGAATTTTTTATCTTCTAATGGCACATTCGAGGGCAATGTTAAATAGGAGACACGCTAAGCAATCTCCTTGGTGCAGTCCTTTCTGCATTTTTAAGTAGTTCCGAAGGTTCGATGGCGACACCACCAATCGCTTACTCCACACCTCCCTCCACCGTTTGTCGTCCAAACCCAGTCCCCTCAGGTCGGCTTTACCGCAATCTCCCACCTTCACTCCGGTCTACCCCTCGGATGTTAACCATTCGGTAAAGCAAATATTAACCTTTTAGGAATTATTTCGTTTCTAAGTCCATTTGATTCGCCGTGATTTAATCGTTCAATTATATTAACCGGGTATAGTTAACTCAATTCGGCGTTGTGTAACCGTCTGAACACTCCTGTTAACTCATTCGTCTTCGGTCCTTATATTCTACGCAATACTTTATTTTCAAAAACCTGAAGACGTTGCTCATACCTTAATATAAGCGGCTACGTTTCGCATACATAAAGAATTGTAGGTAAGATAATGGTTTTATAGATTCTAGTTTTTAAGTTCCGGGATAAGAGGTTCGAGCTAAGTAGTTTTGTTCTAAACCTAATAATATAGGATATTTAATATATCACTAACATTAAGTTATTTTTTCAACGAATTTCGTGATAAACGTTTCCCATAAAACTCAGAATGTTTTCAAAAATACATTTTCCCCCTCAATCATTAGTATTATTTGATATCATGAACAGTCGTAAAGGGAAATGGAAAGTGATGCAACCGTATAAATTTAACAGATTCGATGAGCGGGAAAAGTATGGTAATGAATTGTTTTAGATGAAGCCAAACCGTCGTTTTCACATTACTTCCCTATATATAAAAACACCTATCTACTCTAATGTTGGTGTGTGAAAGTTGTGTGATGTACTCACCAAACCAGCTTTTTATTCCTCAGTTCAATGTCATTTGATATTAAATGTTAATTTATTTGTTTACGAATCCAATCCTTTCAGTCTAAAGTCCTCCGTATAATAGTCAATGCTCCTTATTATGTTACAAACAAAACCTTACATCATGACCTTTACATCCCTTATGTCCTTGACGTTATTCCATCCCGATTCTCAAATTTTCACCTGAACCTAATCCACCATCCTAACCCCTTTACACAATCCTTATCTAGCTCCAGTCATCCCTACAATCCTCCTCGAAGGTTGAAACGGCAGTGGCCTCGAGATCTTTTGTAAAGACGTCACTGGAGTTCTGGCAATGGCCAGCTTCTCCACTCAAGTCATGAGTGTTTGTGGCTTAAGTGCCCTCTCTCAGTCTCCACCGGACTGGTAATGCCGGCGACGCGGCTGGGAGAGAAGCGCTGGGATCTCTTAGAGTCTCGCTTTGTCCTTCACACGTGGGGGAAAGGGCTGGACTCGGAGATCTCTTGCCTGATTGTAAATATTGTAATTAAGTATGAATGTTTTTCTATTTATTTCTTTTACTTATAATTTATTTAATTTTGCTACGAATTTCTGTATTTTATTTAATTTTAACTCTAAGTTAAATTTCCTTGGTTTATTATATTTTTTGCCTTTGTTATATAGATGTATATATTTTTTTATTATTTATTTTTTTATTTATTTTTATTGTATTGTATATATGGTATGAATGTGCCTCACTCAGCTTTAGTACTCAGTGCCCTTAAGTGTGGCAAAATGTATTATTTCTCAATAAAAAGATATATAAAAAAAATATTATTTGTTATAGTGGTGGAATTGTATTGGGCTGCCAGGATTGGCCTAATAGCCAACGGCAGAGGCCTCTAAGATATATATATATATATATAAAATATGTGAAATGTGTAAAATATGTGTACAGCATCATTAATTTACAAATGCAAATGTCGCTATTTAATTTTAGGTAGCTTGCACCGGAAAGCCTCTCTCCCCGTAGATCCGCCTGCCTGTGCTGCCCTCTAACAAAGAAGTAAGTTTAATTGTTTCGTGGGTAAACGACCCTTCCGCCATGAGCCTCAGACACCCTCCCGCAAAGAGGTAGATAAGAATCTAACCATTTTCTAATTTAAACAATCCGACTCCCCCTATCTCAGCTAAGTTAGCGCTCTTTAATGAAGGAAGGGGTGGTGGGAGTTAGTTCAAGCTAACAGACCACTGTGGCGGTTTCGACACTATGGTGCTCTTTAAGGTAGTTCAATTTGTTTATCAATTAATTTAGCAATCTGATAATTATATAACGATGAAATGTATTTATTACCTACCTTTCTCGTAATGAATATATTAGCCTCTTATTTAAATAAAATACATATATTTTTTAAAAATTATATAGATGTATTTCGATAATCAGCCGTGTTATATATTTAAATTCACACACATGTGAACACCACCTTTACTGTGTATTCTCTTAAATATAAATATTCTCTTAAAATAAAATAGATAAATATCTTTTTTTACACTAATAATTATATTTTATCTGTTGATTTTTCAATTCGTTATGGTTTTCTATAAATATTGAAGCATTTTCAATTGTACGATACACAGCTCGATCATATGGAATAGCAAAATTTATTTATTTACATCATTATTTTGATAGGTACATAATAGGCTAGAGTTAGGACTTTAACTTTTTAAATATTTTTACATAGGCAATTAATTATGAAAATAGTTATCAATTATAAATGAGAATTATAATTATGAAAATATATAATTTTTAGTAAATTTTGTGAAAAAAATAAAAATACTGAAAATTTAATAAGTGCTCTATTTTATATAAAATTGCTTGAAACATATCATGGTCGAGATGTATCGTAAATGAACGAGAAAACTACATTTGGTAAACAACCAAATTCGTTTCAAGCAATTTTATGTGGAATTGAGCACTTATTAAACGTTCAGTATTTTAATCTTGTTCACAAATTTACTCAAAATTATATATTTTCATAATTGTTTTAAGCGTTTTGACATTTCTTAAATAAATGGAAATTTGACTCAGATTTTTTTTCATATTTCAAAATAAATATTTCATAAGACTAGGAGGTAAGAAATTACTTTTAATCGTTTGGATCAATGGTTTGTTACTACATTCTGTTAACCAATC